GGCGGAGAGAGATCAATCAGCTGAAAAAATCTCCCAGACAGTGTTTCATCAGCCAGTATATTTTGGTGCTAGAAGACATACCTTCCTGTCAAGTGAGCTTGAATGGAATGGAGGGAAAGCCTAATAGCACTTAGTTTGTTATCAAATATTACTGCCCTTTAATCAGAAGTGTCCCTAGAATCCTGTGGGAGCAAGCACATTCAGGTCACGGGGTTTGAGACTGTGAGAACGTGGAGACCGCCTCTTTTCCTCCATAGCTGGAATGTCCATCTTGGGGGGCTTAAAAGTTGCAGAATCCTCTGTCATCCTAGTGGCCTGGGCACGCATTAATTCCATTGGGGTTGGTTTCTGGGCACCCTTGTAGGCTTGGATGGTGAAACCACCTGAGGAAAGAAAAGTGTGCAATGAAAATAAGCAAAAGGAAATAGAAGCAAACCACCATGCCTATCTTTAGCTCACACAACTGGCACCTTAACAAGGTCTAAACACTATTATCAGTCATGCCCTATCACAGTTTTGTTTGTCATGAAAAAATGTTTCAGTGTATTCCTACATTATATGTGCAAGTTACTACTAACACTGCAAGGAAAGGATGTTGCATTTGTACTTCATCTAGTGTAGCTTTGTGCTGAGTAGGATTTCATTTTCACTACAAGATGCACCAACATTTCTGAAAATATTAGAACAACAATCCAGCTAGTTTAAGAGAGTCCATCCACTCTACATTTTCACAACACCACTAAACAAGCATAACATCTACATTAATCAGGAAAGAATGGTACAAACATTTCTTGCTACATTAAGTTGCACAGGAAGGAAAAAATACTAATATTTATTAGTAGTGATGCCAATTACAGAAATGAAAGTACATATCCTTACTGCTACGAATGCACAATCAGATATAGTGAAAGGCTATTATTATGAGCCCAACCAAATGTTCATTTTCTGACTGATTTTTGAAAGGAACATTCAGGGCTTCCAGAAGGATGCAAACACATATTACAAAAGGCCATCTGATGCATGTGTTCCCTTCTGCAGGTCCAGTTCAATTCTCAACTGCAGCCACAGTTGTACTGTTTTTTTATTTTCACTTCAACACTTCCTATAGTCTTGTGTCTTGCTGTCTTTAGCCTTTCAAGCCAAAGGTGAACTTGTTTGCTATTCTCATCCTCTGTAAAATAGGTGACTGCATATAGCTGAATGATAAATATGTTGCTTCAATGCATGCTTATACCTGTGTCTGTAGCAGATCTCTGAAGAGTTCTGGGTCCAAAGAGGCTCCATTTTTCAGATGGTATTTTCTCACCATCTCCACTGGAATCCATGGCCGCAAAATCGGGACCAGTAATGGAACTGGAGGTTCCCTGACTAAACCAGCCCCTGCCATGAAAAAAACAGAAAATTTAATATCATCAAAGACACAGTATGGAAGAGTTGAACAGAGTCCTCATGTGAAAACATCATGCGCAAAGGAAACTGGGATTCCAACTCCTTAAGCACAATTCTAAGTCCCCTTCTCTTTCTTCTTGGGGAATGTACCTGTATGTGTGCTTGGGAGAAGAATGTGGAGTGTTGCTTGGAGTAGACTGGGTAGAAGACGCCTGTTTCTCTTCCTTTGCCATCTCTCCACTTTGCATCTTCAGATTCTGTTAAAAGGAGCAGAGGTGTGCTACTAGGAGTTTTCTAATCTAGCAAGCAAACAGTCAAAATTAGTTGCATTTATTACATTAATAAGGCATAACAGAAGCATTTTCTGACCCGTTAAAGACTTCCTTACAACATGACACGAAGACAGAGATGTGGGGCTCTAGGCCCATTCCCCAATGTCATCTGGCCTCTCCCAGTGCCCATTTCCACTTTCTCAACCAAGAGCCGTAAGCAGTCCTTTCTGCCCCTCACTGTCTACTGGACACCAAGAGACATAAGAAGGAAATCCCATTATCTCTGATCAGTGATTAGAACTAATAAGGCTTCTCCCTACCTCACTCACGTTCCCAATTAGGAAGGTAAATGAGACAGGATGAAATCTTACAGTTATTACCAGTAACTGACTGAAAGTAACGGTGACTGACATTCCCTGCATATCACTCTCCATCCTAGCTGCAAGGGTTAGCATTACACAGAGGAAGGTACTCCACTCCAGGAATGGGACTTTACAATCAGGCCCATAGATTCCACCAGACCCTCTACAGACTGGACTGGGGGAGGGGAGTATGAAGTTATTGTTCCATAATTTACACAGTCGACTTCATTGCTAGCACCTGATCCAGCATCAATTCAAAATGTGTTCAGCATATGATCAATAACATTGTGAAATATCAGAAGAAGCCAATTATGTGTCAATGACATCCATCTGCAAACATTCCATCCCTCCACATAGCACAGTCCCTGACCACCTCTACCAACTAAAGTAACTAACTGAAGTCCAGTGGGGCTCAAACACCTTACATGGAGTGACTCAGCCACGCGATGGTATTTTGTCTCCTCTGCTGTGAGGCCCTTGTGGGGAGTGTATCCGGCATCTCGCAGCCCTGCCTGCTGTTCAAAGCGCTGAATGCTCTCCTGAGTTTGTTCTAGAACGGACAACATGACACATTCACACATGCCACAAAACACTACTGCCTGCCACAGATTTTCAAGAGAATGTCATACAGCATTTACCATTGGGGAGGGAAATAAAAGATTATGTTTTGAGAGTTTTTGAAACCATCTGCACCACCTATAGTAAAGAGCCAGAGCAATAACATCTTACTCTGAAATACTCTGGTGATGGAAGTTTTAGCTGGTGGAAACAACAGGACTTGATTACAAGAGAAGATCAAGACAATTTAGGACAATGTCCCTTGGCTGAGGTTTGTTCTATAAGAGATACTATTCTTTTAGAATCCAAAGCCAGATGTTCTAAACTAGGCATGGTCAATTTATGGCTGTCCAGATGTTGCCAGGCTGCAGCTCTCCTTTGTCATAGCCAATGACAAGGATTTGGAACTGCACTCCCAACACCTGGACAACCAGTTATCCACCGCTTTTTAAACCTTTATGGAAACACCTTTTGTCATGTACCAAAAACTGTCCAGTTTAAGTCCATATGTACAAAAACAAAATCATGGCCAAGGGAGAACGTGCCACCTGTATGAAGAAGATCCTGAGCATATTCTAATGGAAAAAAACAACACAGTTGTCTTCCCAACTTTTGCAATATAGATCAAAACATTGTCCCTTTTCCTATGTGGTTCTTTTCAACTGAATAATGCATTAGTAGCCACCATCTTAAGAGAAAAGGACTGCCTTGCTGGCCTGTCAAATCATTAGTCCAATACTGTCAGGACTGAAAGGCTTTCCTGGGTTTCAGGCTGAACTGTCACATGGAGAACCTTAAGATTCTTTGTGTGCAAAACAGATGCCCTATCACTGAAATATCTTAAAATGCTGCACCTGTTAAGACTGCCATTCCAGATGTCTGTTCTAGAAGTACTTTCCACAACAGCCATCCAAAACAGTAAGCCATCACACATCCAGCATGGCAGAAAAAAACTTACATTAATGCTGATTCATGCACTGTAGGTTAGCTTGACTTCCAGAAAGTGTACTCTTAAGCTGCCTATTGAGCTTCTCAGTATAATTTACTATCAACTCACTTCATTATCTTTCCCAAAAAGATTTAATAGCTACTAATACACATAAAGACCAACCATTTTTCTTTCACAACCATTCATGGTGAGACAACATTTACCAGACAAATGGAATGCATTACCCAAGCTAACAAGTAAGAGCCGGCAGTACAGGCCCATTAACACTGCCACACAATGAGTAATTAAGTGGTGTAGAAATCATGAGGAACTATCAATGTTTCTTCTACTAGCTCACAAACTAAGATTTAGATATAAAAGAGGATAAGAATCTGAAATAAATTTCTATTTTGTTATAGTATTTTGCTTAGGACTTTAAACGTTCTGTCTCCTTCCATTAGAATACTGGTGGGCAACATGTGGACTTGCAGATGTTGGCTGAATGCAAATCCCATCATCCCCACCACTGGCTATGCTGGATGGGCCAAATGGAAGCTGCAGTTCAATGACATCTGCTGGACGACAAATTGCCCATTCCCACCTTAAAACACTTAATCTGCTTTTAGTCCTTTTGAACAGATGCAACTGGATTGCATAGTTCAGAGTACAGTAGTAACCAATATAATAAGGGAAAATAGTTTCTAGTGCAAAATTTCATGGCCAGATTAGCTAGCCTATTCAATGAATAGAAGCTCTTACTTGTAATGAGAGAATTCATGATGATGTGGGTGGCCTTGGCCTTCACCACTGGAACCTTGTTCACAGACTCAGTGGAAGATGAGGGAATTATGGCAGATGGATGCATGCTAATCTCCCCTTCCTCAACCTGTACAGAGGAAGTCAGGTGCAGTTTGAGGACAAAGATGCAAAATTATCCCAGGAGAATTTCACAAATTTTTCCTGATCCTCAAGGGGCTGAATCTGAAAATGAAAACTACACCTGTAGGAACAGACTCAACATGCTGTTCTTGGTGTTCTTCTACTCTACCTCATATTTTTTAAAAATTGTATAGTGGTGTTCTTCTACTCTACCTCATATTTTTAAAAAATTGTATAGTATTTCAAGAGCACGGGTTTTGCAGCCAATAAATATAAATAGTCTTAAAAGGTGAGCATGTGCCACTACAGATCACTTTTATTTTCACAGAAAAAGAAATTAAACAGGTCCTCAAAAACAAACAAGCAAACGAAGTTCCCATCCACTGAACTCATTGTCTGCTTGAACAATAAATTCAAAAATCAGAATGTTCACAATTAATTCCCTGCCACAGCTACTCAACCCTTGCAAATATATACAGTATTTAGAAAGCACCTCAGCTAGAATCCTGTTTGCTTACACAATTGCCTAAGCATTTCTACTCCTCCAGGAGGCTCTCCTTTATGTGTGCAGTCAGGCACTGATTACAAAAATCAGCCATACAACCAGCTGTTGCATAGGAGCATGCTGTCAGCAAGAACCCTGCACAGTTTCTCTTATGCATGCATAAAGATTTTGGGCCCCTGTTTTAAAACTCGGTAACTTACATATTTAGTGTTATTTGAATTGTGTAAGGCAACTGTATTGCATGTCTCTGAATAGCAGACTTCCAGTTTTTCCCACATATGTCTATTTTTCCTATATTCTATCTAAATATATTTAATCAATAACAGATGTTAAAACATTAGTACTGTATTTACAGAATGACTAAGTGGAATCAAGAACAAAACTAAATAGAGTGCTTCTACAGTTTTAACATTTAACATTTCCAAAACAAAGTTCAGAATACACTGTTGTAAGGCGAAACTATTCTTTTCAGCCTTTGAAAGGAAGCATTTCAACAAAATGTGATTCTTTTCTATCCCTTCCATCAAAGTTACTCTATCTAGGGATCTTAGTGCTTTTCAATTGTGGCATTTCTATTCAGTGTCAAGAGACACTTCACCAGGTGAGACCAGTTAATGCCATTCCTGCTGTTCTTTTTCTTGTCTTAAAGATGTGTTTCTCTCTCAAGAATTCCAGCTGCAAATAAAGCATCCACAGCATCAACATAAGGTCCCTCCAATGTACTCCAGTGAAGTAGTTGGTTTACATCGACTATCACTCTGTCCTCAATGGAACACCATAACCAAAATTTTCCAAAAAACTTGTGCCACTGATGGACTCATTCTACAGACTTCATACCTTGGAAAGTTGCTCATATTTTCGTTCTGGAATGACTGGCTCTTTCCAGAGGATGCTGGAGCACATGTTTGAAGGAGGAGGAGTCATTGGTGCTGTATCCTCCAGAGCATCATCATAACTGAATGCCCGACGGCTCATTGCAATTGGCTGGGACATCTTTCCTAAAAGGCTTCCAGAGCCATGCTCAATAGCTAAGAACAAAGATGGACATTTCAAAGTGGATGGGGCTGCTTGGAGCTTTACTTTATAAGTAGTAAACATTGAACTAGTCCTTTTGTTAAGAAGTTCTTCTGGGGAAAGTAATGTAGTTCTTACAAATGTTTTGATCGTGACCAACTCATTCTTAACAAATCAAGGGAAATAAATCACAACAATTCTAAAAATATATAATACTACAAACATCCTGTATACCTGGAAATATTTTTTAAAAATTGTATAGCATTTCAAAAGCACGGATTTTGCAGCCAGTAAATATAAATAGTTTTAAAAGGTGAGCATGTGCAACTATAGATCACTTTATTTTCACAGAAAAATTAAACAGGTCCTCAAAAACAAACAAGCAAATTCTATAATACTGGAATTGAGAGATTATTCACTGCTAAGAGAGATCTGTGTTGTCTATGACACTTCCCCCAGTCAGTCAATGACCCTTTCTCTTCATATATTCATGTGAAGTGACATACCAGCTATCCAATTTCAATAAATGCACTTAGAAGCAAGGTAAAATAGGACATGGCAGTATGCACTTTAACATAATGAAATACGTAATCCCATAGGCAGCCTGAAAACACCTTTGAGGAACAGAAGGTCAGATTCAAAGAACTTCTCTCACAAGAGCACAAGCTCATTTTAGTAGATTAGTCAGGATCATCCAGACACAGCAGCTACTGATCATTAGTATCCCCAATTAAAAAAGAAGAAAAATGACAGCTGCTACCACAAATAACTAGTTCTCCAAGGCAGAGGCTTTTCTGGAACAAAATATTACTAGTGGGAGCACCAGATCTCTGGGTGCAAGCTTAATACAGATGGACCCTCATAAGAACCCCAAAATTAGAAAATCTGAATTAGGGAACTACAGATTATTTTCTGAGCAGAGGTATCCATGTTGATCTGTTGCAACAAAGCAATAAAGTCTTCTGCCACCTAAAAGATTAACAAGTTTTGTCTGGCATAAGCTTTCATGGACGGAAGTCCACAGATCATGATGCAAGGCACTGCAAGGTTCCTTGCTGCTTTTTATCAACAGCTTGTTGTATACCACACTTCACCAAAGAATTCACATTGTACTTGAAAATTTAATTTTACCAGGAACATCTCCTTGTCTTGAAGTCATGACTGCAACGTCAGATGTCTCACTTATATGGAAATCCAGAATTGGACTGATGTTACCTAATAAAAACAGAGGGCACATTGATCTGCAGAATTTACACTAGAACAAAGGAGCCTCATCTACAATAAAATCAAGCATATTCTAAGACATCTCAACATGCGTAATTTTCATAGAATGGAAGATGACTAACAATCGCCTTGAAGACTTAAATAAAAATCAATTAAATGCTGTTATAACCTAACTCATCAGAAATCAATCGAAATATCATTCTAATGATTTTTATAGGAGCAAAGCAGAAACGTCTTACCACAAGGTGTGATGAGAGAAAGATGTCAAAGAAGGACCATTCGGCTGCTGAGGCTGAAACTAGCAAACCATCCCCGCGAAGTTCCATGCAGACAAACTGACAAGAATTCAGAAGAAAATCTTTACTAAACCAAGGCAGAAAAGACAATCTTTACCTACACCAGAAATGAACATATATTTTAACCAGTATCACCAACTATTCTAAGGGTCATTTCATCTATTTAAATACAAACTCTGACCAAAATACACAAAAAGAAGGCAAAAGAAATAGCATAACTTGCAGCAATAAATTGCCACTAATGAACGAGTCCCCACTTGGATTCCTGGTCACACACCATTATCACACAATGAAGACTCCTATATTAATTAGCCCTTCAAATTAAACCATTTCCTTTCTGCTAGCATAACTAGGCAATAGAAAGAGGAATTTGGCCTCTAAAGGAGAAAACAGTATGCAACCCATGTGGAAATTCTGTAATACATGAAGTTGTCTTGACTAGGTGAAAGGGCTATTGTATCACAGAAGCCTGAACTCAGATAAATTAAAAGGTGTTTGTGAAAACACATCATACATGTTAGCATGTTAGTGACAACAACCCAGGATCAGAGGATGCTGCCTACACCTATTACCATTTGAGGAATCTACAAAACTGCAATCAGGGCCTGCTATACTGAAATAAGTTTTATGTTCTTCAGCGGAAGTTAAGGCTATCAGTTCCAGCGATTTGCTTTTAAACCATAACAGGTTAAGTTGGGTAATTCACCACAAACCAATAAAGTTTTCCTCTAGAATTCAGATGCTACATTTATCAATGTCAGTAAGATAAAAGTAACATGCCATAGCAAAATTAACTCTTCATTTCTTTCTATCCATCACTATTGTTGCACAGCGATGGGTACTTTATACAGCTTCTCAAAATACGCTAACTGCCTAACTAGTTACCAATATCCGACTTGTTACATCAGCATCTTGACCAATTTATACAGAAAGATAAAACATAAAGAGATTGTTAATGCCACTTCAGAAGGCACTGCGGAATAGGTATGGCAGGATAAGAAGGGCCTTTAAGATTGTGAGACAGGTGGTGAGCGGGTTTGCCCTCTTGCTGGAGTGTGATCCCTTCCCCTTATTGCCGAGATAGAGTTTGCCCGCCTCATCTCCCAAGAGAACAGAGCAGCAAGGGACAGATACACAGGAAATAAAAGGAGAAACACAAAAGTTAACTACTGAAGGAACGCAGGGAAAATGGTGGGAATAGAGCAGAAGAAGAGAGTGGAGATAAGAGGCAGGAACAACAGATATCAAGAGGGAAGAACAGTTACCACCAGGTTGGGAGTGGGACTGGAGGGAGGATCCCTGGATTGGAGCATGGGAAAGGCTGAGGGTCCCAAAGGAGGAGGCGGACTATAGAAAAAGGAGAGAAATTCCCCTGAGACCCTCTTATTGGGGAGAAGCAGAAGCCAGAGAGTGGAGGAGAAAGCTAAGAGAAGAAAAAGAGAGAGTAGAGAGAGAAAAGAAGGAGAGGCTGGAATGGAAGATGAACAAAATGAGGGTGAAGGAGGACCCTGGAATTCACACACACACACCCGTTGGATGTTCTGTGTGGGTGGATGGCCCAGACGACAACATATCTATATATTGGCCAGGTCCGTGGAACTCGGGTGAAGGGAACCGGTTCCTAGACGAAGAATGGAAGCCCCTGGCTGACTGGTCGTCAGAAGAAGGAAAACGCTGGAATAATTTTGTTGACACCAGTTATTTGTTGAACACACCAATAAACATCACACCTGTGTCTAAATTTACAAAAATCTCCTGATTTATTTGAACGAAGAAAGGAGCCTGAAAGCTGAACCCTCAACAAAGACGCCCAGCCAGAGGGCTTTGCCCAAACTTCTTGAAATCCTCTGGAGCAGGGAGGGAGCACACCACCGGGGTCCCGTGGGGGCCTAATTTCAAAAACCTCTCCGCCAACGGTGGCGCCCCGGCCCTGGCAGGACAGAACAGCCCCACATGGTCCTCCGCCAGGGGCCAGGCAGGCGGGCCGGCCGGCCCGGAGCTGCTCCACAGCAAGGGGCTGCCGCCGCCTCCTCCACCTCCTCCAACGGCGGTCCCTCGAGCCCAAGCTCCAAGGCGCCGCGACTGCCGGGAAAATGAAAGCCGTGCTTGCTTGTTGATGCCGAGGCATCCCCGAGGTTTCCACAGACCCTCCGACCCCTTTCTGGAAGAGGGGGCAAGCGGCGGCGGCGGCGGCGGGGGGGCGCAGCGAAAGGCACAAACACGGCGACAGCCGAAGGGGAGCAGGAGGAGGCGGGGAGAGGCCGCCGGTGAGAAAACCGCCACCCCACCCGCGCCATGAGCCCCGCCGCCGCCATCCGAGGCCGGCATTCAGACGGGGCCCCGTCCACGGCATCCTTTAACCAGCTGTGCTGGCTTTGAAAACGGGCGCCTAGGAACCCCCGCGAGGAGGAGGAGGAGGAGGGTTCGAGGCCCCCTCCGCCCCAAAAATGAAAGGTAAATGACCCATCTCCAGCCCTCGAAGAAGGGTATACTTACCACATAGCATGAACAGCAGGACACAAGCCAAGGTGGCCACAATGACCAACAATGTCAGGCCAATGCTTTGCCACATTTTCGCAGTTATGACCTGGGGCTGCTCTGGTCTCCACAGTTCCGGCTCATCAACCGCGAGGAGGAGGAGGAGGAGGAGGGTTCGGGGGCCCCTCCGCCCCCCCGGAAACGAAACCGGTTTCCACTTCGGAGTCAGCCCGAGTCCCCCACCACCAACGCGCCCCAGGAGGCGGCCAAGCGGGCCTCGGTGGTCCTCCGGTGTCCTCCGGCTACCAGCCAACGCCGCCCTTCCTGCTCCGCCGTCAACAACGCCCAGCGGCGGCCCTGGCGAGGCTGCCGGCCTTTCCGGGTTACCTGTCTTGGGCCGCCTGCAGCCCCGACGCGGGTTCCCCCGAGGACTAACAGGCCCGCCCGGGCCGCGAATCGGAGGGAAGGAGGAGGCGAAGGAAGCCCGCCGCGAGGAGACGCGGCCCACGAAGCTCCGCAGCGGCCATGGCGCAACACTGGAAGCCGGGAAGAAAGAAAAAAACAACCCAGGCCGGCCCGAGATCGCTGGACCAGCGGCGCCGATGGAATGGTTCCGGCAGGGGGAGCTGTAGAAATCAACGGCTAGTCTCGCGAGAGTTCGGAGGGCGGCGCCTGAGGTGGGTGTAATCGAGCGTTCCTGCGGGTGGAACGTGAGAGGGTGGAGGTTGCGCAGAACCTGCCCGCCAGATAAAGGTGTTAGCCTTTAAACTGCCACCGTATCTGGTCTGTCTTGGTCTCCTTTTCCCCTTCGGTTTTGCCAACAATGGTGGGAGGCGGGAATTCCTTGTGCTCTGGTTTTGCAAAGCCGCGCGAATCCTCTTGCGAAGAAAGCTCGCTCTTTTATATGGAGGAGGAGGGGAAAATAAAAACTCTTTCTCAGTCGTTTAAAATGAAGGAGGTGTAGTGTTATGCAACAAATCCAAGATTAATATTTCTGGCCCTCTGGGTGACTGAAATCCAGTATAGTGATTAGTAACGGGAGTAAGGTAAAGGTAAAGGTTCCCCTTGATATTTCCAGTCCAGTCGTGTCTGACTGGGTGTGTGTGTATATGTGTGTGTGCACGCGCGCTCATCCCTGTCTCCAAGCCGTAGAGGCAGCATTTGTCCATAGACAAGTTTCCATGGTTACGTCTGGTGGTACCTATTTACCTACTCGCATTTTTACATGCTTTCAAACTGCTAGGTTGGCAGGAGCTGGGACAAGCAACGGGCGCTCACTCCCTCACCTGGATTCAATCTTATGATCTGCTGATCTTCTGACCTTGCAGCACAGAGGCTTCTGCGTTTAAACCCACAGCACCACCCCCACAGCACCACCATGTCCCCTCTTGAGTAGACCCATTGAATCAATGGAACATAACACGTGTTGCCTCACTAAATTTCCACTGATTCAATGAATCTACTCTACTTTTTACTTGCTACTGGATTTCTACCATTGTCTGGCTTGCCTTATGCAAGTTGACATTGAAAATGACACTATTGCAACAGACGCTATTTTTTCCTTTGCCTAATTGTTTTGATTGTCTACCTGCTAATTACTGTTTTCCAACTGTTGCTTTGTTTATATACATATACAATCTGGAGGGAATGCAGAGAAGATGACATGGTCCTATCTAGTGAGAGACTGTGGCACTTAACATTGCAAACCTTACCTCTCTGAAACTACTGGTGAGCATGACCTACATTCTGAAAAACAAAGCAGCTGCAAATGTATTTTAAATCTCAAACATGTTAAATTACCCCTTTGCCTGCATCCACACTTCTGAAATGGGAGTGTTATATGCTATATCTAAACAGAACCATACAGTACATGTTTTGTGACCTTTGGAAGGCTGCATATTTACTTAATGCCTAGAAGACTTAACACTCTAGTTCAGCTCGTACTATTGCAAATTATGTTTTGTAGGTCAGAAAGAGGAGATGGAATTTACAGTATTTTGAAAAGGGAGGTTTCCTGTTTCCAAGAGAAAGGGCCATTCTCCACAATATGTGGAATAAATATCAATTCCTTATTTTCAGCAACCTTTTCCAAAGGTTTCTAGGTGCAGAGTATCCGAAGTGATTTACCATTCCCTTCTTCTGGAAGTGCCCTGAAGCTGTGTAGCTGTTCCAAGGTACACACAAACTGGCTCCTCTCTCAGGAGGAACAGTGAGGAATTGAAATGTCAGCTCCTGGTCCACAATAAAGTACTCCAGTTCAAGTAGTTATCATTACTTTAGCTCAAAAGTGGCGAAATAAAACTCAAGCCTCTGCATAGATTCAGAATTGGCCTAAGTAACATCCCTTTTAAAAGTTTCAGTTAGATCACTGGTTCTTAACCTTGAGTTACTCAGGAGTTTTGGACTGCAACTCCCAGAAGCCTTCACCACCAACTGTGCTGGCTGGGGTTTCTGAGAGTTGCAGTTAAAAAACATCCGAGTAACTTTAAAGGTACCAAAATAAAGGACGAGAGCTACAAGCTACAAGCATTTGCAGACGACTTGGTGTTTATATTGGAAGACCCATTGGAAACAACATTGAGACTACTGGACAAAATCGATGAATTTGGGAAAGTAGCAGGATCGAAGATAAATAAAGAAAAAACTAAAGTTATAGTGAAAAACTTAACAGCCAAGCAAAAAAATCAACTCTCAAAGATGTCAGATTTACAAATAGTTCAAAAAAGTTAAGTACCTAGGAATATATTTAACTGCTAGATGTGTAACTATAAAAGAAGATAATTATATGAAACTATTTAACCAAATAAAAATAGATCTAGAAAAATGGAAAAACTTACAACTATCACTATTAGGAAGAATTGCAACAATCAAAATGAACATTTTGCTAAAGCTACTTTTCTTGTTCCAAACAGTGCCAGTGAAAATAGAG